TCCCGGCGCGCGAGCGGATCCCGGCGCTTGGCGGCCGCACCGTAAACGCGGGCGATTTCGCCGCGTGCAGCGTCTGATGTGGGGCGAGGGAAAACCGAGCAGCCGTTTCTGGAGGAATGCGAGGGAGATCTAAGCGAGGCCCTTTGAATCCAGTCGCTTTTTTGACATGAACGTACCCGCGGAGACGGTTAAGCATCAACCAGAAGGGTGTATCGCTCTTTGCATGCTAATCCAGATGGTTTCTTATCTTGTTGCGCTGCGTTCATGCCAAGCCCGGCGATGCAGCACCTCGCTGCGGCAGCGGCCTTCCCCGGCGCGCGCACACCTGCAGCCCTGCTCCTCCATGCAGAGCAGAGCCCTCGGGCATCCCCTGTATTGGAGCCAGGGAAGACGCTGGGATTGCCCCTGGTCCTCGAGGTATTTGCCCAAGAGAGGTCGGGCTGCTCCTATTTCCATGCATCTGAATTTCCACCCCAAACCAGGCGCTGTATTGGGAAATATCCAGGTGCTTTGCAATCCTGGACTTCCCAGCACATTTCCAACCCCACCACGATGCACTAAAGAAGCCTTTTCTCTCGTCTGTGTGTTGCACGTGCTCCTTTTCCCTGCTGCTTTAATCCTGTTGTTGTTTGCCTTTGAAGATCAGCAGAGAGGCTAACAGGGATTTAAGGGATGCAAATTGAGCAGGCTGCGCTTGGGGTTTTGGTGAACCCTATCAGAGGGTTTCGGTCCTAAATTTTTCAAAAGCCTTTATGTTGCATTTTCAAATGCAATGCAGATGCCTGAAAACCTCGGTGTCATTGGCAAAGAGGGTGTCTCGGGCACAACAAACATGTTTGAAAACGTTACCTGAACTGTAGAAGTTGCGCTGCTCCTCCCAACCCCAAAATTACCGTGAAGGTTTAATTTCTTTCTCATTGAAATGCAAATGTTTATGCTTGGAATTTTCATTGATATTAGCACAGGTTATGAAAAGAAGCAGTTTGTGCAGGATTATTGTTTGATTTTTCACTGAGAGGGAGCTTCATAGGCTCATCTAGTTGGCTCTATAATAAAGAGATTCTTTGGGGGGGAAAAAAATAGATGTTTATTTTAAATTAGCAAAGTCCCCTGTGGTGCCAGGAACTCGAACAGCACCGTTCGGAGCAAGTGCGGAGAATCAGGTGATGACACAGAATCAAAAAGAAAAATGAAACTGGCCCCAGTCACTCCCTGTGCCAAATTCTCAAGCGTCAAATGACAGCAGGAAAGGAGATGCAGAAAATCAGCAGTCTAAAACTGTTCCTTGCAGAGGAGATCCAAAGTATGGAGATTGCTGCAAAGTGTAGTCAATGCACCCGCTGCTCAGGACTCTGGTTCAAGTTGTTCAAGTTGAAGGAACTGCCCTAAAATCATCATTACTGTGAGTTCAGACTGGCCTAACTGGGAGCAGAATCAGTTTAGTAGTTTTAATCTCGGCTGTGCCCTTTTGACACAACACTAACTGTAACCAATAATAATAATAATAAAACACCCTTCTCGCACACACACGGCTTATTCACAGAGAACATAATTTTTACCCCAGCAAGTGGAGCCTGGCCCGTGCCAAGAACAACACGGGAGTTAACAGGCCCGTAATTCTCACGACTTGGCACGTTCTTAGGTAACGCACACGAGAAGCTGATTAGAGAAAGCAGAGCGAGATGTTGGGTTAGGAGGGACGAGCGGGGCAGCCCTCCAGCCCCAGCTACCCGGTTCTCCAGGACTTCCCAAACCCAGCACGGGTGGTGGTTGGAGGTGTTTGTGCTGGTCCCACCCCGTGGGATGCAGAGCAGCCGGTCCCATCCCGTGGGATGCGGAGCAGCCAGAGGCTCCTCGGTGCTGGTGGCTACCTCCTTGCAGCGCTGTGAAATGACACCCTGCCCAATGTGTGATGCTGTCCCCGTGGGTGTCCCGGGCGGTCCCCAGCCTTGTCCCCCTGCAAGGGAGGCCACGTGGCTGCAGTGGAGATCAGGGCAAGCGGGGATAAACAGGAGAAGGATCTGGCCCTCGGCCGCTTCCCCGAGACTTGCAGCGCAGCAGCCCTGGGAGGTTATAAATAGCCCCTGCGTAAAGCGATCGTGCTGAGGTTAAATGGTCTCAAACCAAAAACCTCCTGGTGAGAGCAAACCAATCGTTTCTGAAGGGCACGCCAGGAAACATGGGAGGAGAGCGTGCCCAGCACTGTGGCCACACGGGTCAGATCCTGCTCTCACTCTGGTTTCACACTGCTTGGTGTCAGTTTATCTTACCGGCTTTTTGCTTTACACTTTGCAGATAAGAGAATCCATCCATTCCCAAGCCTGCGCGCCAGTTAATTTTACTCCTCTAACTAGCCCTGTATGCAGCAGATTTTTATTCTCATTTCCACAGCCTTTGGGGGAAAAAAACAGTCACTTTGTGTTCACAGGGTGCTGGTCTGGGCAGGCAGGGCAGCCAGGAGCCCCACGCAGCGCCAGCCCGGGCTGCTGCCCTGCCTTGGGCAGAGCCATTTGCCTCCAGGGAGGATTTGGCCCAATGCCCCTGCAGTGAGGGCTGAAAAACCTGAGGTTTTGCAGGGCTGGCTCTCCCGTCTCCGCAGCGAGACACCACGCTGTCATTAGGATGGCTGGAAATGGTTCCTTATTACGGGGCACGCGAAGCCAGAGCCTTGCGTGCTGCGCTTCGAGTTTGGTCTTGCAGCTTGAAAAAGCACCCGGCACGCACCGAGGAGCTCGGGAAAGCCAAGCAAGCGGCCGAAGGAACTTGCTTCTGCCTCCCCCCTGGTGCTCGTGGGGACGCCAGCGCTTTGGGGAAGTGTCACACATCCCCGGGGGGACCCTGCGGCCCCCTCCTCCGCGCCGCGGCGCTCGGCCCGGCCCCGCCGTCGCTCGCGGTTCATGCGGAACCGTTTTGTTCGCATTGCAACACAGCGAGACCGCCCACGCAGCCGGCTCCTGCGCTCCAGCCTTGCGGTGGAAACATCCTCAAGCGCTCGTGAGCAACTGCGCGCGGCGGCCGGCGGCACGGAGGGGCCTTGCGTTCACGGGGACACTTGCAGAGTGATTTTAAGCTCGATCTACTTTGCAGCAGAGCGAGCTGGTTTGATGAACGCATTTAGCATCTCTGTTACTCTGGCGAAACCAAATTCCTTTGGCTTCGCAGGGCAAACAGTAAACGCTGGATCCTCTTGCAAACTCCATCCTGCTGCTCCCAGCCTTAGTTTCTGCTAAGCGGTTGTGGAAATGTTGTCCTTGCTGGTGAAAAGCTTTCAGAGCGCCTGATGTGGAAACTACACGGTTTTAACCAGCTTGGTTTCCAATCCATTACTTAAAGGCAGTGCAACATTTTTAATGTAGGCCAGGCATCAGCAGAATGCTTCACCATATGCATTTAAAGTCAAATCTCTCCCTCTTTTTCTTTTTAAATATACATTTTTAAAGTATTATGTTACTTTTAAGAAGCCTCTTGGCATAGGCAGCGAGTGCCCTATTGTTTCCGAAATGCAACGTGGCTGCTCTGAGGTTAAGTTCTGAATTATGGGCCCAGCAAATACACTGAATTGCTGCTTCCTAATCCCTGTCCAGATCGACTTATGGTTTCTTTAAAATATCCGTTTCTTAATGGATAAAAACATTCTACCATGGGCAGAGACTAAATTGTTTCCAAAGGAAGCTAGGCAAGCATTAGTGGGAAGAAAACATATTGTGGGATTTAACTTCAGCCTCAAAGGAAGGAACACGCTTAAGATGGGTTTCCTGCCTCCTTTCAGGCTCTGAATGCTTCTGTGCCTATCTTTAAACTACTTTTCTGCTCCTCTCCATTACATTTGCCCGCTGGACGATGGATGTCCCTTCAATTAATTTGCCAGGTAGTGGGCAGGGATGAGACGGGAGCCAGCGCGGTGCCGGAGCATCCCTGCAGAGCACGCGGCCCCGCGGCGCTCGCCGCCCACGCGCGGAGGAGCCGTGCGGATCCGCTCCGCGCGCGGAGGCTCCGCAGGGCCCCCTCGCAGGAGAGCGGGAGCGGGAGCCGCGTCCCGCGGCGGGAGCTCCCCCGGCAGCGCCGCGTCCCGCGGGATGCCCAGGGCAGCCTCGGCCTGGCCCAAACCTGCTCGGCAGGCAAGGTGGTCTAGCTGCAGGCTGGGTTGTAAATTCAGCTACTTCCTTTTATGTAGTCAGGGCTTGTTAATTTTTTTTTTTTAATACCCTTTGAATACAGGTAAGGAGCAAAGCACAGGCAGGCCAGAGGGAGTGCCTGCAATCAAAGCGCGACTGCAGCTCCTCTTCCCCTCCAGCCCACCCACCTGCTCCAATTAGCACCGTTAGCTTCTTCATTAGCGTTGCGGGACAGCGCGGGGGGTGGCAGCGAGGGGACGCGGGGCGAGACGGGGCGCTGGGGACGGGAAGAGGCTGCAGGAGCGTCGCTTGTTTAGTCTAGCACAGGGCGGGCTGGGATTGCTCCGTATAAATACACCGAGGGGGTAAACACTGCGGAGGGAGAGGCTAATGCAGCTTGGAAGGACAGTGTTGGCACAGGAGATGGGGCTGAACTGGCCCGGGTGGCTGTTAGAATCCAGGTGTGTCCCAGCAGCTTGGGGCAGAGGGAAAACCCTCCAGGTGGCCCTTGAGTCTGCAGAGGACACCGTGATGTGGCGCATGGTTCCCCAAGGCACGAAGAGCTGGGAATGCCCCCGGTTCGCTCCCTTGCCTCTGCAGAACAGGGTCCGTTGCCCGGGGTGTTTGGAATCTGACTGAAAGTGCTTGGAAAGGTGGCACTGGGTTGTGAGTAGGTCTGGGGCCGAGAGCATCTGCACAGAAGGTCGGGTTCTTTCAAGAGCTCTGGAAAGCCGAGCAGCAGCCGTGCTCGGCGGAGCTGCCGTGCAGCGCCGCGAACAGCTCTGTGCGCTGCTGTGTTTTGGTTTGGGTGTTGTGTTTTTTGGGTTTTGGTTTTTTTTTTCTTTTCAGACCCTGCAGAGGAAGTTCTTGCACCCCGTCCGTGAGCTGCTTCTATCAGATATAGAACAATTGCTCCCGGGGCGTGTAACAACGGATGCTGTTCACACCCTCATTTTTTTCAACACCTCCCCCCCGTCCCGTCCCCCCCCAAAAAAGGGTTTTTTTGCTCTATTTTTCACAGGGTGGGAGGAAGGGGCCGTTTTCTTTTTTAGTTGGCTCTGACTTGGAAACGAATGAACTTGTTCACATAGGCGGCAGAGGCGTGAGAGCGCGCGTGGGCGGCGGGGAGAGCAGCACCTTCTCTAGAGATGAGCTGTGTCTCCAGCCGCTGCAACGCGCCGGCATCCTGGGCCACCTGCCTCCTCCTGCTCCCCTCGGAGCCATCGGGCTAGCGGGATGGAAGCAGACAGGAAAAGAGGTCGGGAAAATGCTGAAAGACACTCAGAGCTCCAAGTAGATCAGAAAAAGTAGCTGGAGGTGGATGTAAAGAGAGGATTTCTGCGGGTCGCTCCGCCTCGTGCACGCATGTGTTGTATCCTTAGTGTTTACATTGTCGTCAATCATCACGGGCAGGAAGGGAGATTTCCCCCCGCCCCGGGCAAGACATTTCATGACAATTTAGCAAGACATGTATATGCATATAAATAAAACAGTGAGATATGCTCAAGGTAGTTATATGCTAGATGTAGTAGGCGAGGGCCATGCTATCAAGATGCCTTTAAATTCCCTTTTCTCTGTGTTTGTTTGCGTTGTGTGATACATGCACGGGCTCACGTTTGTTGCTGTTGGCCTGGAGAAGCCCCTGCGTGTTCCCCACGTCTCCATCCCCAAAAAGGGGTTCACACAGTAATATTTGGGGCACCATGGGGTTATCACGTTCTTTATGTGACTGCTTGTCCCCACATAGAGCTGCTCCTGCTGCAGCCGGGCGCATCCTTAATGCTGTGCTCCGGGCACTGCATTAGCTTGTTGTTTAGTTGCCCCTCAGTGCTCCTCAAAAGCTGCAGCCCTGGCAGGTGCTGAGCTCGTTTTTGCTCTGTTTGCCATCCAGACAGAACAGACTTTTTTTTTCCCCCATGTTTGGAGCCAAAGTTAAGTCCCAGCTGCTGTGCTGGGCTGGACACACTTAAGTGCTGCTCATTTTCAAAGCCTTTCGCAGGGGCATCTGAAAGGCAGGCAAGTTGTTGGACAGGTAGCCACGCATCCCAGCACAGGGACTCCTGGGGCAGGCCCTGCAGGAGGAAAAGTGCAAGGAGAGAAGCAGCAGGGCCAGCTAACCTAGCAGAGACTGTGCCCTGGGGGTGCCCACCCTAGGCAAGGGCACGGGCTCTCCCCAGAGGCCGTTCTGCACCCAGCGAGCGCAGCACGGTGCATCCATCCACATGGTTGTGCTCCAGAAGGGCTTCCAGGGGAGGCTGAATGGAGCCAGCAGCGCTGCCGGCTCCGGGGAGCCGCTTGGGCCACCCCAGGAAGCTCCCAGGCCAGGCCTGGTCTAAAGGGAGGCGGCTCATCACACCCAGCCCGTCCTCTGCGGTTTGCAGCCTCCCAACCTCGGTGCTTGCAGCCGGTCCCCTCCTTCCCAGCCCAGCTCTCGCCACAGACCTGCCACAGTCTGGGTGCCGCCGCTGTGCAGCCGCTCAAATGTGGCCCTTCCCATTTATCTCCCTGCCATCGAGCTGAGAAAAGGCCTATATTGTCTCCGAGGCTGGGGCGAAAATAAAGCTGCTGTCACTCGAGCACAGTTGTTTTATCTGGAAGAGGGCTCCGATCGCCCATTTCTCCACGCAACCGGGTACGCGGGAGGGGGGACTCGAGGGTCCTCGAGAAGTGCAAATTACAGCTGCACAATTAAATACTCGGGTGTGTCCTGGCCTACAGGGTTCCCTGGGCAGCCCAGTCCTAACGAGGAGACAGTGGCATTACTAATCAGGGCTCTGACCTTTACATGGCTTTTATTTAATACACATTCCACACTTCCCCAAACTCCCATCCAAAACATTGACATTTCCGCTGATAGATTGGGTCAGATTTTGGAGTGGTTGGGGGACTCAATTCACTCTTACAATGGTTAAATTCTTACAGCTAAATGGGCTTATTCAGTTAGTGCAGCAGCTGGTGTGATTTCGAGAAGAAAATAAACATTTCCTTCAAATATTTTGATTGGCAACTGGACAACTGAAATACTCAAGCTCGGATTGCCAGGGTCCAAAAAAGCAAATGGGGGTTGGACAGCGAGTAAGCAAGGCAAACCGTAGTAAATTCTCGGCGTCGACGCTACCACGCAGATGTGTGTTTTAGACGCGCTGTGCTCTGTGTGTGTTTGAGAAGGAGACAATGAGATGTGACATTAAAACGCGTTGTCAGCTGCGATTGCAAAGGCGGCGTGGGGCCCAAGGCTCTGGCGGTTCTTATTTTCCTGGCATTTGCGGCGCCTGTTGTTCGCTCTGGATGGCTGCTTGATAACTGGCAGAACGTGGCAGAGGGTTTCTCCGCTGTGGAATTAGGTGGTTATGGCGTACGTCGGTGCAGATGTTTGGTTTGGAAACACTGGCGCTGTTGTGGAGCCAGGGAAGCCCCCGCCGGCGTTGGGCAGCGCGCTGAGGACGGGGCTCTGATCCGCCAGGACGCGGAGGGCGTTCGGGTTGTTCAGAGCAGCCTCACGGCGCCATGGGGTGCCAGAGCCCTCGGAAAGACCCTGCGGGGGAAGATGGAGGAAGGGATGAGGTCGCCATGGAGGGGGCAGCGCCTTGGGGGAACCGCCATGGAGGGGCAGCCCCGCGCGGGCGCCTTCCCGCGCGCGCGGCTCCCTCTAGCGGCCATTGAGGCGAGGCCGGCGGGAACCCTGTGGCGATCGGGCGGAACAAGGGCTGCCCTTACGGACTTCCCTCTTTTTTAGTTATCTTGAGGGTGTTTTATTATATTTTACTCTTTTTTAGCATCCCTCAGAGCAGCCCGCAGATGCTGGGTGGCTCCTCAAGGCGCAGCGAGGAGAGCGCGAGTTGGTGGCAGTGCCGGGTGCCCCTCGTTCCCTGCGCACGCAGCCTGTAATTAATACCCTTGCTCGCCTCTAAATTAGTAGCCAGCGCTGATTGCCAAATGTTGCAAATTCGGGCCAATAAAACACAGCCTTTAAAAAAGAATAATAAAAATAAAGAAACCTTTGAGAGTGTTATAGAGGAACAGGGAAATGTGCCCTGAGCACTTGCGTTTCATTTCAATTTGCGTTTTATGGGATATTATTCATGGGCGTATGAAGCCTGATGAAGGAGAGCACGCTGCTCGCTGGAGATGGTCGCCTTGCGCTAGGAAAGGAGGTGATGGCCAAGCCGGGGGGACGGGGGAGCCATCAGGGATTTTGGGGCTAGTCCAAGCATGTAGCCAAACCGCCCGGCTGCTGGGACAGGTGAGGAGGAGGTTTGTTCACCATGATAGTTCCTTCTGCACACCAAGTCCAGCCAGGATTTTGGTCCGACCTTATCCTGTGGCACCACGACTGCAGCGCAGAGAGGAACCCATGGCCCCTTCTCCAGTTGGGGACCGGTGGCTGAGGGATTCACCCAGGCATTCCTGCAGGAATGGGAACGCTCCTCCATTTAAGTTCCTCTCTAGACGTGCTCAGGAGGGGAATAAAAGCTGTTGATCACTCAAGCTAAAATGGCTTCATCTTAACAAGTATATGTATATAACATATATCTGTATACATACAAATATAAATATAAATGTGCATATGTATATATGTATGTATACACATACATATCTAAGAATAACGAATGCATTTATTGTGTTCATCACACATTTTCTCACTGTGAGTTGGTTGAGAATCCAGCTGATGTGACAGACAGTGATAGCTAATAGTCTTTCTGGCTAGGTTTGCTTTTTGGGGATAAACAAGCTTTTATGTGTTAGCTCTAAGCATTGTAAATATGCTGAATGTGCTGGAGACCCTGGCACAACACAATTTTATGCTTTTTCACCCTGCCTTTTAGTTTGTGTTCTCCTTCAGAGCATGGAGTGGGGAAAGAGGTGGGTCTCCATGGCACAGGTTTCGGGACAGAAGGACAAACCCCCAAAAGTCCTGAGGGGCTCAAAGGAGCTTCCCGTGTGGATTTGCTAGTGGGGACGGGAACAACAGCACCCTGCACGTATCCCTATCCCGTTAACAAGGTGCCTTTGGGTTTATATCCCCAGAAGCGAAATCCTGGGGTCCTCCAGGAGCTGGACGTGGTCTCACCAGCCTCACCCAGCCCTCCCTTCCCCCCAGCAGAAGAGACCCTGAATTTCTCACTCTCTTCATCCTCTTGGAAGGAGAAAAATACACAGCGAAAAGCAAGCAGGGGGCTCTGGTGGCTGCTCGCTTGGGAGCTTTCAGCTGTGTGTTTATCAGCTCCATCCCCTGATGGTATCAGCACGAACAGGCCACCCACAGGAAGGCTTAGCAGGCTGGTCTGGACTCCAGCTTCGCTCCCTGCCTCCGTGTGCGTGTGTATACACAGCGCCGACCAGCCCGGGGACTCGCTGTCTGGGGCCTGCCTCCATTTATTTACTACACAGCATGTAAAGGCTAAACATTTTTTTTTCGTTGTGTTTATGAGGATTTTTTTTAAAAGCAGCCAGAGATGAATAGACCCCTAGAGAAGTCAGCTTAGTCGTGTCCCTTCTCGGATAGGAAGTAACAAATTTTAGGACAGGAAATGGGACCAACTTTTAAACAAATGGTTTGGGGATTTTGTGTTGAAGTTCCCCAGCTCTCTTCCTGGCTGATCCGAGGGGCTTTTCCCAATGGATTGGGTTCCTCGGGCAGGTGGTGCCCAGGCCACAGGACCTGCATCTGCCTCTCTGCACGCAGGGATGGGCATGTGGCCTTCAGGCAGCCCTTTTCCATGGAAGCAGCCGGCAATTCCCGGGAATACCCGTGAACAGATCCCTAACGGCCCGCTCTCTGCTTGCCCCCGCACAGGCACGTCGGACCTGAGCCCCTTCTCCGACCCCCGGCAGTTCGAGCGCTCCTTCCCGGCGCTGCCGGCCCTCACGGAGACGCGCTTCTCCGACCCGCGGATGCATTACCCCGGCGCCATGTCGGCCGCCTTCCCCTACACCGCGACGCCCTCGGCCACGGGCATCGGCGGCATCA